AAGGCTGAGAAGGCTCAAAGAAACAACTTTAGGGCCAACTCCATTTAGGAATAACTAGTTCTGTCAACTGAAAGTAGACAAACTTACAAAAAGTAGGTTGAGCCAACAGCTAATTAGTAATGTTTTCAGGAGACTAGTCAGGAGACTAGTAAGTAGACAGATTAACTTCCCACTTTTTATCCACTATTTATTTTTCACTAATAAAACAGTTCCAGGTTTGATTTCACCATGCATCACACTGCATAATTACTGTAGTCTGTGCTACTATCACATGCAAACATGGTTCAAATGATCATTGAGTGTGTTACGAAGAAGAGTGCAGGGAGTGGTTGATATGGGTACCACTCATCTGTGAATCCTTTTATGTTACAAGGACTCATTCAGTTTTGTTGAAGTGAGACACTGCTTTGTTTTTTGTTGAATTGCTGACAATTTATATTTTCAAGTCCAAAGAACTCCTAACCTTTATTTATGTCAAAGAACATAGGTTTTTACAGTGTGCCACGAGAATGATTCCTCCCTACACCATTCACAGGCGTTAGGTATTAGGTATATCACAGGCAGCAGATATGACACACATACACACACATACACAGAATTTGCAGCCTCAGAGCTGTGTTTTAATTGAGTCAGCCCAAAGTGCTGGCTGAGCAGAACGATATGACTGATACGGATTAGAACCAGCCTTCCCTTATTCATCGATTTCCACATGGGTGGGAAGCAGGGTGGGGGACACGATGGAGGGATGATAGAAAGGGAGCAGAATCTTTCTCTATTGATTTACGGAAGCAGGAAAGGACATTGGGAGCGAGAGAGAGAGAGACAGATGGACTGAGAGTAAAAGAAACGTATGGAAGGAGGAAGGTAGGGGATTGTTAAAGACAGAACCCTCCCCCCCTCTATCAGTTATACAGAAGAAGAAAGGGAAGCAACGGGAACAGAAGTGACTGATAGAGATTATACGGTTCCTCTTTGTCATCATTGATTGTAGGAAGGGACGGGGTAGGGTAAGACAATAGGGCCTGGAGAGAGAGTTGTAAATTCAGGGATAAGTGATAGATGGATGCATGGGATGAATAAAGGAAAGTGGAGAAAGATAAAAACATTAAGGATGCAGGAGGGGAAAAAAGATCTTAAGTAAGAGTGAAGGTTAGGGAGGGGGGTTTAACAGTACTCACAGGGACCCTTTATTTTACTTAAGGAGAGTTGGTTAATGAAGGGGAAAGATGAGGTGTGGACATGGCGATGGAGAGGATGAAAGTGGGAGGTGAGAAAGAGTCTGAAGGGGGGGTTGAAGAGGAGAAGGAAGATGATGAAGAAGTGTTGAAGAAAATTACAGAAAGAGTTGGAAACATGGAAGAAGGGAAGAGACACTTCACATTTGGGCTAAGTAGTCTCATTTAGGCATCTACCAAATACTCCGTGTCGATCAGAATCCCTTTGAAATCCTTGAAACAGCTCGAGTGAAAAGGACGGGACATTTGAGACATTATGTGTGTGTATGTGTGTGTAAGTTAGGCCAAAAGAAAGAGTGTAGACTGTGTGTGTGTGTGTGTCAGTGCTGAACGTGATGGGGTGGTGTGTTTTATGGGTAAATTGAAGGGTCTGTTGAAAGG